AAGATGTCAGCCCTCAGAGGCCTCCATTAATGATATTGCTTCATTTCTTAAAGTGGCAGGATAGTCTTGGGGCAAGGGGATCGCCACAGAGTCCAAACCACATTTTTGTTGTTGTTTTGTTTTTATCTGCAGCTCCTTTTGTGATGTTATCATTTCCGTCTGACTTTATGTGTCTCTCAGAATCTATTTTTTAATCAATTTCTCAAACTTGAGAAATGAACATTTCTATTTTTTTTTCTCAACTAAATATCCTCATAGTTTCATAATGACAGTGACAACTCTGGATTATTTATTTCAACTGTCCTTCCTGCCTAAAAATGAAGTTTGATACCAGAAATCTATGTTAGGATTATTGTAAGTTTACTAATCTGTTTCTGTTCTTGACTCATCGAAGATTAAAACTATGTAAAACTGATTCTTATTTTACCCCGCACATTGTGGTGAGATTCCCAATGTTTCCATCTGACAGGAGCAATATTTCATGACATTTACAGTTTAGTTTTGGCTCTGTTTGCTATAATTAGGGCTTAAGCTGTGTTTCATCCTTCCAATGTGAGTCAGAGGGTTAATTGAACTTCAGTACTAAATCTAAAACACAAAGGACTTCCTAAAAACATTCTTGAACTCCTGAACTGACACTAAAATGACCCTAAAGGAACGCCAGAGAGTCTCGCTGAAACCTTTTGATGCCGCTCCTCATCTAGAGTGACTCACATTCACTACCTCATTGTTTGTATCCGTTGACAAGTGTTTGTCTTCCTTGTTGGGTTAATCACAGCACAATGTACAGGTGAACCCTCCTTGTGTTTTATAGCAAGGCTCTGACTGTCCCCTCTCCTCCTAATGGGCGTTGGTAGGTTGTTTTTGCAGCAGATTTATGCGCGGATGGGGCGGTGTGATTTACGTAACTCTGACACTGTCTCAACTGCAGGACCACGGAAGCAGATTGCTGCTCTGTGTGTGTGTTCCAGGTGAGTCCAATGTCTGCTCTTTACACAAGAATTTCACTGTTTGTGGTCCTTTACTTCAGGCATGCTGCTGCATATGCCTAACAGGGTCATCTAAGGATATGAGGATATGGTGTCCTGTTGATCTCAAAAGAGAACAAACCACAGTTTAAAAGTAAGATTTTAATACAAATTGTGACACTATATATATATATATATATATATATATATATATATATATATATATATATATATATATATATATATATATATAAAAAGGGGTAATTACCTAGTTTCATATCTGTGCATACCCTTAACCAATCCTTTGTTGATAGGTCCTGTCCAGTTTTGTTAAATACACACCTATGATCCACTGAAGTGGATTTGATTAAGCAGGTACAGATGTTCTGCTGTTCTAGATTCATTTCCAACACATTTCCAATGTTGCAGAATATATATGCATTGAAGTCTTCAATGCATTATACTATACATTAAAGACAACTATTCCTAATTGAGAATAAGAAGATTTATGAAAGTGGAGATTTTATAAAAATGTAAACAATATGAAATTAGAAAGTGAAAGGCAGCCAGTCATGCTGAAAGCAATGTGAGAGGGGTTGCAGAATATTCACCAAGTAGCTAAAGGTTGATTTTAACATATAACGAGAATCAACTATATTCTTCACACATCTATGCTAAGGCTAATGGGCCTTTTCACACAAAGGAAAAAATCCAGATCTGACATAAAACAGAGAAAACTCAAATATCATGAGGGAAAATGTGTTTTATTCTTTCCCATTCTTTCCTCTAACAAAGGTGCTATTAATTCTCATAGATTTGTACTGGTTTTGTCTCATTCTAAAAGCTTATTTACAAGGATTGCAAATTTAGTCCACTGTATGGTTATTTTTGTTTTCAGTGCCCCCCCGCAAAGACATAAAATTGATTTTATTTCACATGACACTCTCTAAGAAGGTTTTAGTCCTGCTGGATTTAGTGCTTTTAAAAGTTTAAAGCATAATATCTGGATATTTACTCATCATGTCAGCTTCCCATAAAAGCAGCATTTATTCCCAAGAATCAATATTGAACAAGTGGCGAGGCAGCACACTCAAAGAGCAACAACATTAACACACACACAAACACACACATATAACATCCACCCAAAGCACCCGCCCACACACAGATTCATACAAAGGTTGGCAGAGTTTTATAATCAGAACAGCCTACAGGTGAGAACATTTTTGTCACCAGATGTTTAATTGGTTAATAGTGTAAAATGTCCTTCTTAATACACCTGAAAATGGGCACACACAAAAAATCTAAATACAACCAAAAGAACTGATATTAGCTCTACAGATGTTTGAACAGACAATATAGGTTAGAAAGATAATAGAGTCTGATTTCCATAAGCGTTTTGCTTTTGTAAGTGTTTAGCAACGGACCAGGATGCAGAAACATAAGAAAATATAATCAAGCTAATTTAGAGCAAGGTATGTATGCTTCAATTTCATCCATGTTTCAGGAAGTGTTAGTTCCCCCACGTTGTTTTGTCACTTTCTCTTCACACAACCCAATTTTGCTTGTTTCTCGCCCTCTATTCCAGAAGAGAAAAATCTCCCAACTCAGTCTCTGTGTTAAATCAAGCTGTCTAACTTTCCCCTGAGAGGTTTGGACTGAATTTTCTCCCAGGTTAGGACAAGGCTGAGTGTAGAGACTGTCACAAGGTTGGGGTTTTTTGTTTGTTTGTTTATTTATTTTTTGTAGTTTTCTTTTAAATTCTGTAATAAAAAAAAGGTTTTAATATCATAAAAAAGTTTTAATACCATCATCTAATAATTACTACAGTAAGTAGCAAAATAGAATACAATTTAAAGAAAGAAAAAAATAATTTGAGTCTGTTTGTTTTGTAGACAAACAAATATTAGAGTCTCAAACTAGAGGTTTGAAGCACTTTCTTTTCTATTCTTTTGTTTTTAGACATCTGCCTCACTTAGTCCAAATTTCAGAATGAACAAAACCTTTCAAGCGGTTTTTTAGATAAATGCATTCAAAAATATTATGCTCTTTCATCAATGTTCCTGTTGCTTTTTGCAAGTTATTATTATTATTATTATTATTATTATTATTATTATTATTATTATTATTATATTNTTATTATTATTATTATTATTATTATTATTATTATTATTATTATTATTATTATTATTATTATATTTGTATTATTGTTATTATTGCTATGAATATGTGTAATATTAGTAGTAGTATCCTTATTACGAAGAAATAAAGACAATATCCTCATACTGTGTCTCCCATATCTTTCTTGTACAAATCATTAATATCATTAATCACAAAAACATGTCACATCGCAAAATCAAAAATAATCATCAAAAAAGTGCTAATATTTTCCTCTGACTTGGATTTTCACATTAATGTGGGATCACCTAAACAACGTCGGAATTATATATGTTAAAGTGAATAATTGCGCTTCTCCGTATAAAAACTATGAGCCAATATGCATCCGATTACTGACGTGATTTTTTTAATTATAAATTGAAGGGGAAACAAAGTTGAAAGAAATACAAAATTTGAAAAATCAAACAAATTGAGCTCATTTACGCACCATGTGAGGTTTTGTTCGCATTTGTTTCAGTCAGTCTATGCCTGGCAGCAGACAGTGGATTTCTCCAATACGCCCTTGCCTCCCTCCACCAATCAGAGCAGATTGAGAGAATTGCATCACACCTTTAAACGTGTTCCTGCTCCTAATCATTAATGAGGCTCGTGGTGTCAGTCCTTCCCGTGCCAACATTACACCTGCAGACAGCGGCTCCACTCAACTCAAAGTTAATCAGGGAAGCCTGGGATTGGGTTTCAGGTCACATAACTTAACATTTGCTGTTCCCATCTATGAGAGGTGCCAAATAGTTCAGCTTTAAATGAAAGACCGTGAAGCATCTTATAAATGGACAAACTCTCCCCAAGAAGAACGCGGGGCCATTACACTATGCACGCGCTCTGAGCTTTTAGCTCCTATTTATTTTATTGAGGGAAACTTTAATTTAGAGGCTTGATGATGTATTAGACTCAACATGGATGTCAAAAGACCTCAATCTTGATCTGAACGGAATGGAAGGTTAAAGGCAAATAAGGATATTTAAAGATAAAATTGATTAATTTGAGCCTTTTTTGGATTAAGTTCGTACTTTTCCATTTTTTAAACAAATAGTTGTTTGCTTTTTTGTGTGAATTTTTTCACCCTTATTTATATATTTAAAATATTTATATATTTTTTCAGAGAAACCTAGTACTCAATTGTATTATTCTCGTTTTTTTTTTCATTTATTTATCTAATTAAAACTTTAGACATTTTATGCACCCTAAAAAAAGTGCTACCAGGAATCCTATTCGGCCTCCTGTCTTGGTTTTTCTGCAGAGGATAATTATCGTAGGCCTTGCATTCTTCCCTGCAAAACCCATTGTTATTCCCCCGCTTATCTACCTTATCTTAATCTGGATGCACTGTTTGCTGCTGTATTTGAAATAGCTCAATTACAAATCTATAATCTGTCTTTTGTCATTCAAGATTGCAGTTAAGGCCCTAAAAAAAAAACAACAAAGAAGAGAAATTGATTTTTTTTTTCTGAAATTAAAAATTTGGTATTAAAGTTATTTTTTGTGTGTGTGTTGCTGTTTTTTTTCTATTAGAGTCTGTAAAAATGGTTGCACGGCTTCCAATATTTTTGTTTTTTCCTCTTTCCTTCCCTCTTTGTTCCCAGAACCGGTCCCATACCGGCCTTCTCTTCTAATAAAGCATCGCTTTAGCATCCAGGATGATTTAACCAACAGTTTGCATTAAATGGGCTACTTGGTGGTCTTCTGTCGGTTTGACCTTAGTCCTGTTGACCCGCGCAATTTATGGAAGGAAAATAAACGCAAAAGACAAGTTACCATCTCTGCACCCGCAAACGAGAGGGGTGGGGCTCCTCTGAGCGGGTGTCTGTGTGTTTAAGGTGGTGGTGATATGGGGGGGTGTTTGGTTTTGTTGTGGCTTCAGTCAGTGTATCGCTTGCAGGTGATGCCAGGAACAGATAAGAGGTCGCCGATCCCTGACACGCTGTCTAGACCGGCCTGTGGCTGGACCAGAGGAACCAGACCCATCGCAGCAGATTTACAGCTGATTTTTCTGCCCCCGAGATAGTAAATGACCACCGTCCGATTCCTGCCATACAGCAGGAGATGGAGGGGCCAGATAATAAGAAGAGCACCTCCAGGCAACAGCTCAGTTAATCAAGGTGGAACGGGAAAAACCACATATTTTAACGCAAAGAAAAACAATCCTCCAAACTTCAGCCCTTTTTACTTTTTTTTTTCTTCAGATAAAAAAAAAAGTCAGATATTTCATTCAAGCACAGCAGAAAACAAGGATGGAGGTTTGTATGGAGGCTGCGCCTGTACAAAAATCATGAAGCCATTTCTTATATTCATCTTTTTTATTCTTTTCATCAGTTAATACTCCCTTTAACGAATCGCTTTCCTAACAATAAATAATATAACAATAATTTACTTTTTTTGTTTTTGTTCTTGGAGCTCAAACAACCAGCCCTTCAAGATAAAGTACTTTACACCACGAATACTTTTGCAGAATATCATGCTCTGACCTTAAGACAAAGAGTCAAGTAGACGCCACAAGAAAGGTATCAAAAATGTTCATGTTGAAGAAACAAGACACAATATGATCACACTGAAAATGCAGAATAGTCTGTCTGCTGTAACATTGAAAGGATCCGGTAGCCTTTGATTTTTT